GAACCTTGATGAGTGCAAAAAAATAACTATTAGCCTAGCTAATGTAGATGAAAATATTTGTGATGAGAATCAAGCCATTATTCTTCTAAATTCTTTACCAGAAACCTTCACGGATGTTAAATCCACAATTAAATATGGTAGGGAGTCTCTATTTTTGGAAGATGTGCTGGCAACCCTTAGATATAAGGAATTATAGATGAGCTCCAATACAAAGGCTCATATTGAAGGGTTGAATATAAAGGGAAAATCTAGAAAAATATCTCATTCTAATAACAAAGGCAAAAGTAATAGTTATTAAGAATAAGAATAAGACCAAATAACCTACTGGCTCTGCCATAAGGAAGGACATCTCAAGAAGAGTTATCCTGAGAAGGGTAAACCTCAATCTGGCCTCTTTAATAGTCACAAAACATATTATACTAATCTATTGAGTGATTTTGATAGTGGTGAGGTCTTGGAATTATCCAATGACTCTTATAGCAAATAGTAGGTTATGGATTTAGGGTGTACATTTCACATGACACCAAATAGAGAGTGGTTGAGTGGCTTTTAGTCATTGGAAGGAGGTAAAGTTCTAAAGGGGAATGATACTATTTGTCAAGTGATAGGAATTTGTTCTATAAATTTCAAGATAGATGGGATAGTCAAAATCATAAGGGATGTAAGACTCGTGCCTACCCTTAGAAGGAATCTGATATCACTAAGGATATTGGATTCAAGTGGATATTCCTTTAAGGGTGAGAGAAAAATCTTTAAAGTAGTTAAAATGGTCACTTGTAATGAATGGCTTCCATGTTTTAAATGGGGAAGCCAAAGAATTGGAACCTTATGTTGCCTTAAATACGGTATGTCCAATCTTTGGCATAAGAGGATGAGGCATATAAGCAACCAAGGGTTGCAAGAGTTATGTAAATAAGGAATCTTGCCTTTAAAAAATATTTTGCCCATTTACTTATGTGAAAATTGTATTATGGTAAAGTCCCACAAACAAAGTTTCACAGCAGCCAAAAAACAGATAAAGGAAGTCATTGATTACATTCATTTAGATCTTTATGGATCACCCAATATACCTAGTTCACTTTTAGGATGTCATTATTTTCTTTCTTTTATTAGCTCTTACTTTAGAAAGGTGTGGGTGGACCTTCTTCTTAAAGTAGAGACTGAAAAGGGAAAAAAGGTTCAGGTACTCAGGACTGATAATGGTCTTGAGTTTTGTAGTAATCAATTCATTGATTTCTACAAAAAAATATGGCATAACAAGTCATAGGACTTATATTGAAACACTTCAACATAATGACATTGCTGAGAGAATGAATAAAACCATTTTAAATAAGTTTAGAGTATGCTTGTTGAATCTGGCCATGACAAAGATTGTTTCAACAACATACCATGTTCTCAATAGGTCTTCTTTATTTTTGTTAGCCTTTATAACACTAATGAAATTGTGTAATAAAAAACCTCCTAATCTAAACTATTTAAAACCTTTTGCTTGCCTAGCTTATGTCCATGTGAAACATGATAAAGTTGGACTTAGGACACTAAAATATGTTTTTATTGGTTATCCTTCAGGCACAAAAGGGTTTAAGTTGTGGGTGATTAGTGAGAAGGAATGTATCATAAGTGGAGATGTATTTCATAAATTGACTTTTTATAAGGATATTGTGCATGAAAGAAATCAAAAGTCCATTCCCAAAAAGGTTCCATTAGAGGTGGAGAAATTTGCCACATTAAGGCAGATTGAAGATGCACTTAATCAAAAGAGGATATTGAAGATCTCTCTGATCATGATGATAATCATGACTAACCATCGAATGTCTCTAAGGAATTAAGGACTAATGATAATCATGAAGGGATGATTCCACTTGACTATTTGCTATCCTGAGACAAGGTTAGGAGAGTCATTAGACCTCATAGTAGATTTGCTCATCCTAACATAATTTTTTTTTTTGCATTGCAGGTTGGAGAAGCAATGGACCAATAAGAATCATTAACCTATGATGAAACAATGAGAATGAGTACTCGGAGTAAATCACATGAAGTAATGGAGGAAGAAATAGACTCACTAAAAAAGAACCAGACATGGATGACAGGCCTTACAATAAAAAAGTAATTAGCTATAGATGGCTCTTCAAGAAGAAGCCATTTGTTCCTGGTGTTGAAAGACCAAGTTACAAAGCAAGAGTTGTAGCCAATGGCTGTGGTGGAGTAGAAGGAGTAGACTATAATGATATTTTCTCTCTAGTGGTAAAAGACAACTCTATTAAACTCCTCTAATATGCTCTAGCTATGTTTGATTATGAACTTGAATAATTAGATGTTAAAACAACCTTTTTGCATGATAATTTGGAAGAGCAAATCTTTATGGAATGACTTGAAGGCTTAATAAAGAGAGGCTCTGAAAACAAAGTCTACCTTTCAAGGAAATCATTGTATAGCCTAAAGCAATCGCCTAGGCAATGGTACAAAAGTTTTGATGACTTTGTGACATCACATGACTTTAATAGAAATAGCTATGATTGTTGTGCATATTATTTGAATGTGAGTAAAAACTGCTATATGTATCTTCTTATCTCTGTTAATGATATGCTTATCATTTCTCATGATATAGATAATATAGATAAGTTAAAGAAAATGTTGAAAGGGGAATTTGATATGAAGATCTTACGCCTTGCTCGAAGAATATTGGGTATGGATATATTCAGGGATAAAAAAGCCAAAATTCTTTCTGTCTCAATCACACTATGTGAAGAAAATTTTGAAACAGTTTTCAATGCATTTTGTAAACACTATTCATTTTCAGTTCAGGCATGTGTATAAAGTACCTAACTCTAATGCTATATGGAGTCTAATGTATGTCATGATAGGTGATAGACCTGTCATTGCACATAATGTTAGTGTGGTTAGAGGTTTATGTCAATCCTAATAGGGATCACTGGAATGTAGTAAAGTCAATATTTGCTTATTTGAATGGATCCTGTGATAATTGTTTGAATTTTACTGTTGATGATCTTGGTTAATTTGTTGTTAAGAGATATTGTGATGTAGACAATACTGTTGATCTTGATAAAAGAAAATCATTAACTGGTATATATTTTCTATGGGAGAAAATATGGTTAGCTAGAAGTCTAACCTCCAGCATGTAGCGACATTTTCAACCACTGAATTGGAGTATATAGGTCTTAATGAAGCAATAAAAGATGTTATGTGTCTTAAAGGTATAGTCTTATAGTTGGGACTTGGTAATAATGTCCCTAAGATAATGTGTGACTCACAAAGTGCTATACACTTATCCAAAACAATGTCTTTTATGAAAGAACAAAGCATATAAATGTTAGGTTGCACTTCATTAGGAATATCATCTCTAATGGGAAGGTAAAGGTGGAGAAGATCTCCACTTCTTGGAACCCAATTGATATTTTCACCAAGTTTGTTCCTATCGACAAATTTAAGGATGCCTTGAGTTTGTTAAGTTAATCTTTTTGAAAATAGAAAAGTAGTCATGAGATTAAATTTCATCTTATTGGTACTTGCACAAGCTGCCTTATGAAATAAGGTTGAGTTTGTGATGCTTATTTCCTAATGCAACTTGTCGTTTCATTCGTTAATCAATGTGTTTAATGGGTATTTTAGTCATTTCACTTTGGCAATAATAAAGCGGTGCATTTGATCAAATACTAATGGTTGAGACATTTGTGTGTATTGAATTAATTCATTCGATCATATCTCGTTATTTTCTCTCTCTATTCTATGAAAATCCTTTTTGTGAACTCTGCTAGGGTTTCATGCTCAAAACCTAGATTATAACAAATAACTCTAATTTTGTCCATCTTTGGTTGTGGTTTCTCTTTGTCTATGAGTTGTAGGTATTTGGCTAAGTCCTAGAGAGGTTTCGTGGCTTTTGGTGACTTAAGAAGAAGAAGCTTGCAAGTCTTTATTCTGGGTTTAAGGAAATTTGAAGTCTTCTGGAGTGTTAGTATTTGTAGACTTGTGGTCCATTTATTTTTCGTGTTATTAGTTGTTGTTGTTGTGACTAATTGATTAGATTAATAGTTTAGGGTTCTTAGTGCATATCTTGTAATATTTAAGGCTGATGGTTTATTTGAGTTTTTCGGTTTATACCTTTTGTTATTGCACACACTTTGTAACTTTTTTTTAGTGCAAGTATTGGGGAGTTTAATCCTTATTCATCATTATTCGTGATTTGGTTTATAACCACCACCATATTATTGAGTAAAAGATAATACTTATATCTTTTCTAAAATTAAATTTTGTAAAATAGAATATATATGTTTAACTTAAGTCTATGTTCATAATATGTGAAAATGTCCTCATTAAAGACTAAAAATAAAAGTCCTCTTTTATATATGTATATATATTTTAGTCCTCTTATCTATATAATTATAGGTGTTATCCCTTAAATAATTAAAAATTTATACAATATAATTTTTCTTAATTAATCAATTGTTTATCAAAAAGTCTATTTAATTTATGTAATAGGTTACTCTACCTGTCATTTTTTCTATCTATCTTTGCCTACCACTCTTCAATACTATTAGATTAGAATCTTAACTAACATTTATCTTTCTCTTTCTTTTTATCTAATGATATTAGAAAATGATAGGCAAACGTAAACAAAAAATGGTAAGTCAAATAATCCAATCCTTAATCTATTGTTTTAAGGTTTTATGTTTATTATTTTACATAACATAACTTCACTTTCCTACACACACATTAAAGAGGTGGGGTCCACATATTTTTCTTTCTCTTTCATCATTCCACTTTCTCTCTCTCCATTATTGTGTATGTTGAAAAACCCACTTATATCATGTCACATAACATTAATAAAACCCAATGTTTTAACTATTAAAACAGATTTTGATTATTAAACGGAGGGCATGTTTGTAATCTCAAAATGTCGTAGACCTCACGCTACTAGGTGTCGTTTTCACCTGAAAACTGTAGAACACAACCTCCCCACACATATCTCACTCCGAAATCGAACACTGCATCTGAAATTAGGGTTTTTCTGCTTCAACATTATCCGAACCCTAATCTCAATAATAAGGGTTTTCCCACGAAGTTCAGCTCCACTACACGCTTGATGATCACACTACACCTTCCTTCTTCTCCCAGCTCGCACCTCTTTCACCCTCACACGATCTCAATCCCTCGCGCATGGTCGATTCGGGATTCATATTCCAATTCAGGATTTCAATCCATCGCCACCAATTTCTTTAGTCTCGTTTCTTCGAGTTGCAGCCAAAGCTAGAGTCTTTTGGGTGCCTTCTTTCCGATTCCCAATCCAATTCAGACACCCAGATCACAATTCTCAACAACCACCCTCTTTCTGGCTCGTTGAATCCATGGACGTAGACGGAGGGAACAAGCGCGTGTTTCACAGGCTCGGTGGACCCTCGGGTGACACGAAGCACCAGAAAGTGTGCTTTCATTGGCAAGCGGGCAAGTGCAATCGGTACCCATGTCCGTTTCTTCATAGCGAGTTGCCTCCTTCCAACGCCAATGGATCCTCTTCGAAAAGGCCTTATGGGTCTGCCGATAATTCGGGCTTTTCGGGCCCACGCAGGAACCCGAATTACAGCAATTGGGGGCATGGCGGTGGCCGTGGTGGCGGTCGAGGAGCTGCGAGTGGTGGTAGAGGAGTAGTTATGAAGGCTGATAAAGTTTGTAACTATTGGATTCAAGGGAAATGTAGTTATGGAGAGGGGTGTAAGTTTCTTCACTCTTGGAGTTTAGGGGATGGTTTTTCTTTGTTGACTCAGCTTGAAGGGCATCAGAAGGTAAAAAGAAAAAAAGGTTTTTTTTTTTTGTAAAGAATTATGTTACTATAGAACTCTGCTTAATAGTGAAACCTATGCATGACAACATTTTTAATTATTGGATTTTATGATATGTACGTATTTTTAATTTTAATCATGTTTAAAATGGTGGATATGTTGCCATGTATCGGGTTTAATGTAAACTGATTCTATATTAACACAACTCTTTGTAAAACATGATATTTGATGACATGTTTGTGAGTGTGCGTTTTTGGGTAATAGGAGTTGATGGGATTAGTTGTTGTTTTGTTGAATGTACAGGTTGTGAGTGGGATTGCCCTGCCCTCTGATAATAAGCTTTATACTGGAAGTGCTGATGAGACTCTAAGGGTTTGGGACTGCCAGTCTGGAAAGGTTGTTACTTGTTACTATTTGTTTTTTTGTTTTGTTTGTTAGTGACAATATTTGTATCAATTATAAATACACTGAGAACTCTTTCTGGAATGTTAAGCTTTCATGTTTTTGTTTTCATGGAGAAGGAGAGATTTTTTTTACCTTGAAGTTTGAATTTTGTTTATTGGAACTAGGTAAAGCACGTCTCCTTCTGTCATCAAACTACTGTGTGTGAAAGCTAGGTCGAATTGTATAGTTGCATAACTTGTATTTGCAACTTCGTTTTTGATGTTCCTGATCAACTCGCTAAAATACTTGAATTTTAAGACATTTAATAGCATCACTAATTTATTTATTTATTTTTGCATCAAATTGTCCGGTTGTATGATTTTTGTCAAACTACTATGCTCGTATTGGTTCGTGGAGATTGTAGTTTTCTTAGGTGTTTGGTCACTTTTGAACTCTGTTAAATTGCCTTTTGGAAATTATTTTTTGGGGTGTGTTTTCCAATTTTAAAATTGAAAGCCAAAGTACGTGATTCTCCTAAATAAAGAAGTTGCTTTGCTGGAAGTAGAGCTCTAGATGAACAACTATAACTTTGCTTTAATCCCTCCCACATTCCAATTCTTGTTGCTTACTCTCCAATGCTTATTATATTAATGTTTGTAGTAGACATCTTGGTATATTTTTTGCCTGATGATAAGTGCCAGACACTTTTCTCCATGATACTTTAACGTGAAACAAGGGTATTGTTAGTGTAACATAGGAGTCTATTTGTATTCTAGTTTTTTTTTTTTTAATATTAGTTTAATTGATATCATTTTCGCTTCTCTCTATTTTGTTTTCAATTTTCAACGTCAGCAGTGAACTTTTTTTATGAATTTTTTTCTTAATTTCTTTTTGAGCTTATAAAAAAGAGGGTTAGATTGATCTGGATTTTGTTTGTCTATGCTTCTATGCAGTGTATAGCTGTGGTCACTCTAGGTGGTGAAGTAGGTTGCATGATCAGTGAAGGTCCCTGGGTTTTTGTTGGCATACCCAATTTTGTTAAGGTAAGAAAAATCACAATTAGGCATTTGTTTTGTTTTCTCACATTTTGTATTTTCTAAATTTTTAAATTATGTATATCATCTTCAATTTAGTGAAAGGTTTTTATTAAGATGTGTTCTTTCTGCCACTTATAGCTTCACGGCTGATATCCTGTTTGGTTGGTGACATTGGTGTTGCAGGCCTGGAACACGCAAAATTCAATGGAGCTAAGTCTAAATGGCCCTGTGGGACAAGTTTATGCACTTGTTATTAATAATGATATGCTCTTTGCTGGTACACAGGTAAATATTTTCTTTTCCGTTGATTATGTATTTGTTTTATTCAGAGTCATGCTTTATTTCTTGATGCAGAAATCCTGGTTTCGAATAGATGATCTTGTTGGCTTTTAGGGCTTTTTGAATGAAAATGGAAAAGTGAATTTTCTTCTTCCTTTATATGCCCTAAACTTTACAGAGTGGCACCTTACAGTGTTAGGGGATTAAATGTCCAGAAATTACTTAGGGATGATAGTATTGAAGTTAATTTTAGGGGGGTGAATTGAGTTTTAAAAATATTTCTATTAAAATGCCTTACTTTTCTTTTTCAAAGCCAATTTATTTAATTTAAATAATTTACAGCGTGTAGTGACTAAATAACAGAAAAATAGATCAGGTAAATATTTGATGAGATATGAATTTAAATATGCTCAAATGATTAATCAATGCTTATGCAAGAGATAAGGGATAGAGAGATTTGCAAACTTGATATATCCTGGTTCGGTTACTACCACTGTGACCTACGTCCAGACTGAAGTCGCTCGATCAAATCTTTCACTAACGGTCAAGCTTCACGGGTGCTTGACAAACCTTTACAAATTCCCAAGACTTCTGTCTCTTGGTAGACTAACAAGGGTTCACTCCCCTTTCCAAGACTTCTGTCTCTTGGCAGACCAACACAAGGGTTCACTCCCCTTTTGATTCAAGAAGTAAGATGAAGGTGATAAAGAGTGGATATGTACTCTCAAAGTACAGATATTACAAATTGAAGAACTAGTAGGTGTATAGCCTAACAACAAAGATAAGCTCAAGTCTATGCAATGATCAAAATGAGTAATATGTGAGCAAAAGCAAGCTAGAATGAGTGATAAAGACTTGGTAAATGATCAATGACCGAATTGTGTGTATTTGAGATGTTAGGGGGGTTTATATAGGCACCCAATTCGAAAACTAGCCGTTTATAGCCGTTTAAAACAGTAGATATCCGGATATTCATCGAACACATATCCGGATATGTGATTGTAGCCGTTTATAGCCGTTTAAAACAGTAGATATCCGGATATTTATCGAACACATATCCGGATATGTATATCCGGATATTCAGTATCAGATATCCGGAGATTGATATCCGGATATTCTTGGTCAGATATCCGGATATTTCATGGAAGTGACCTTTTTACACATTTTCGAAAAATTCCTTTCTTTCAATATGGTTTCTATGACTTGTAAAGCATATGATTGGTTATGGAAATTAACTAGAAAAGTATATTTTATGTAAGTACTCTTTCCAAACCAATTTTGAACGATTTAAACCACTTGATTTGACTTTTCTTAACGGATGTATAAGGCCATGAATATGTAACTGTTATAATGCCATGATTCCTTTTTTTTTTGCTTAAGTCATTTGAAAAACCTTTAGATGCATGTTTGACTTGTTAGTTCAAGATTCATTTATGCATTTGATGATGTGTATGACTTGAGCTTATGCAATGCTATAATACTATACACCTGTACACATTTTCCTAAGTCCTAGATAAATATACCATTGAGATCTTGGACTTGACTTGATGCTTGGCTTGCATGTTTCTTGATTTGATTTCTTTTGGATGTTGCTTCACCTTCAAGCAATCTTCTTTGACTTGTTTGTTATAATCAAAACTATGCTGACGTGGAATCATCAATAGTATCATCGTGGCAGCCACATCATCACTTTGATTCTTCAAGATAAATACATACAATAAGGGAGAATAGCGTACGCCCAAATGATGGATACATATTTGCTGGAGCAAGTTTTCTGGTGAAAATTTAACGAGGGTTTATTGGAAATGAGTGTGAGACCAAGAATGATATGATTTAAAGTAATAATGGGATACCATAAGTCTCATGCTGGAATATTGGATATGTAAAAAATTGGATGATGCTTTATAAGCGCTGATTACTAGCTAATCAAACAATTCAGGTTAGCCTTTTATGTCATGTGATTTTCCTAGTAGATTATCTTATGCTTAGTTGAGCTTGTGGTATGAGAAAATTGTGTTGAAGCCATCATCAGCTTGATATGTGGGATATTCCACATAGCTGGTGGATATCCTGGACCATAGGCCATTGATTAGGTATAACAAGGACCTTTTATGAATTTGTGTGAGGGAGACTGTGATACCTTAAGTCTGACATTGTATATGTGTAAGCACTAAGAACTATGGCAACTGGGGTAACCTTTTAACTCCTAAATGAGTTCATGCTCCTAGGATCGTAGGAAATATCTTATATTAAAACTCAATTAAACATGTTTTGAAGCCTGTTTTAAGTTCTGTTATAAAAAAATGAAAACAGGAATTACCACAAAAAATGCTCTAACCTGTCTACGTGGGTTTGGAAAACCAGCTTAATTTTTAATCTCAAATGAAATACTTCTCTTACAGGATGGGTCTATATTGGCATGGAAGTTTAATGTAGTTACCAACTGCTTCGAGCCAGCTGCATCACTTAAAGGTCATTCCCGTGGTGTTGTTTCGTTAGTTGTTGGAGCTAATAGACTGTACTCTGGTTCAATGGACAATACAATAAGAGTAAGTACATAAGCTCTCTGCCCTAAGCATCTAATCCTTTTCCTTGAGTTTAGGCTCTTGCTAGGCAATGTAATAGTAGGTTCTGGTTAGTTAATTGGATTCATTTTTTCTAACTGATTGCTGTCTTTCAGGTCTGGAGCCTTGAAACCTTGCAGTGTTTACAGACACTAACAGAGCACACATCTGTTGTGATGTCTGTTCTCTGCTGGGAACAGTTCCTTTTATCTTGTTCGTTGGACAAAACAGTGAAGGTTTGTTTCATACAATTTGCTGATAGTATATATATTAAATATATATAAGATTTGTTTGTCATTAATTTGTTTTGGTTTGATTCTTTTGATTTCTGCAGGTGTGGTTTGCTACGGAAAGTGGAAACTTGGAAGTAACATATACTCACAATGAAGAAAATGTATGTATAAATTTTTTATTTTTCCCCTGGATTCTTGGTCTTTGCAGATGATGTTACTTTTTAAGTTTGATAATCTTTGGGGAATCAATTCTTTTTAAACCCTTCCATCATGATCCAACTGCTTATGAACTAAACTCATCACCACAGATGTATATGGTTTATAAAATATAAGAACCTTATACAAGTTTCTGATAATGAAAATGGCTCATTTTGGCTTGCATTCGGATAGGGACTAGACCAGAAAGGATTATATATGTATTATAGCTTCTTATATTATAATTCGTTCTTGGTGATACATAACATTCAAAATCTTTCACTACATTATTTTTTCTTGATAGAAAAAGAAGTGGAGCATAAGAAATCCTCCAAAACATTGAAGCATAGGAACTAGATAGAACTTAGAAGACATAAAAAAAGACTCAACAATTCATCAAGGCTGCCAAATCTGAATATAGAAACTCCTCTTAAAGCAGCCTTGAGACGAACAAAACTAAAAAACCAAAGGGAAAGAAGTTTTGGAGCTTCATTGGTATTTGTGAGTCACATTAAAAGTTCTTCGTGAGATATAAATCATGATAAAAGCATATGCTTTACTATAAAGTGCAATTTGTAGAAATTGGTGTAAGCATAGTTTAAAGCCCCAAAAAATGGTTAAAATTGTGGATTTGAAGAGTTCTTTTATGGTTCACTCCATAGCTAGGTATGGCCAAATTTTGGGCTGTTGTAGTTTGATCTGCTTGTTGGGCTCTTAAAAGCCCATTGAGGTGTAGGCCATTTGATTGAATAATTGTAGAAAGAATACATGTATAGAGTTTATGTAACAGAAGCTGGTTTGGGAAGTCACTTGGAAATTTTCCCTTATTCTTTTCACTATTGTTTCCTTGTACTTCGATGAGTATTTTGACGCATTTTCTATTTCTACATGTGTACTCATTTGATGCATTATCATTTTCTAGGGACATTGTCTTTTGTTCACGTATAGCAGTTCTTCTCTCACTAACTAGTGTGGAAAACCAAAAGGAATTATTATTTTCGCATTCATGCATATTATTTAGTTATTAACATTAATAACTTGTATATTAAATGTGGCTAGGAGGATTTGTTATAGTTTATGAGGTGGCTTTAATGATTTTGGGATTTGCATATAGGGTATACTCACACTCTGTGGGATGCATGATTCACAAGGCAAGCCCATTTTGCTGTGCTCTTGCAATGACAATACTGTGCGCCTCTATGATCTGCCATCGTAAGTAATTGACTTCCTATTCATGCTCTCTCATTTGATATATTTTTTCCCACTAAAAACCTTTGTTGAGTATTTTGAAAGTTATTCATGAGAGCTCAAGCTTTATGCTAGAATATCTGGCTTGCGGGTCATTTGTATTGTTTATGAAACAAGCTTGGTTTATTGTGCAAGTTATTAATTCTACTTGCAGCATATAAAAGGTTTGGAAATAATAAAAGCCACATTTGGCCCTTTAAAAAGTCAAACATGAGATAAAGAGAAAATTTCTCTCTTGCTGAGGAAATTAAATTTCTCCTTTTGTTTATGAGTGGTAGGAGGTTTTCCCCCTATAAATTGAGACCTCTTCCATTGTAATCTACAATGCATCTAGAGAGAAATTCTTAGTTTCTTCTGAGGATCCCCTCAAATTTAGAGGTTGTGGGTATTCACCCGTTAAGAGTGTGTCATTGTTCTCTCTGTGTTAAGAGAAGTTGTAATAATTTTGTTATGAAGAAAATTCGTATTCTAACTAAAGGTTGTGTGTCAGTTTCAATTTTCTCAACTATATCTTAGTCATGTGCCGTTATTTTTATTATCTGTGGTACTTAAACGAAGGGAACTCATTCTCCACTCTTTGGCCCATCTTTTGTTCAGATTTGCAGAGAGGGGTAAGATATACTCGAAACAAGAGGTACGTGCAATTCAGATAGGGCCTAGTGGCATATTCTTCACTGGTGATGGAACTGGTCAAGTGAGAGTGTGGAATTGGACAACGGAGCCAACTACTACTACCTTCCAATAAAGTGGCACTTTTAATTTAGTCCATTTAATTGTTTTAGTAGTTTTGTGGTCTTCCTTTTTTGTAATTTTTTAGCTGCAAGAAGGGAAATTCAGTGTGAGGTTGGGATTTGGAAGATAGCCAAAAGAAAAAAGAAAAAAGAAAAAAGAAGAGAGATGGAGGTGAGGTGAGGTGAGGTGAAGGGAGTGTTTGTAATTTTAATTTTGTGGAAGTAGTCTTACTGTTAGAATCTGAGCCTGAGGTTTTAGTGTTAAGAGAGTATCCTTGGCACAAAACTGTGCTCAAGTAGATGTGCGTATGAAGTTGGTAACATTTTGCTAAATCACAACATTATTCATCATTTACTACCCAACACACCCTCCAATGCGTATATGTATAAACCAAATAAATTTCAGTTACAAGCAACCAGGATGTATTGCATTTTCTTCTATTGTATTCTTTTCCTGGTGAAGATAAGCTTGACGAATATGAATATATTGACTCGTTTTCCTTTGCTGCAGCTCTTTACATCGTTTGTGCTAGAATGCCTCATAGGATAGCTCAATTTCTTTAGATTAAATGTATATCATTTGTGCTACAAAGCCTAGCATAGTTGATAGATGCTGAGTTCTTTAAGCATGTTGACAGATATTCGATTCTTGGCCGTATGTATAGAAAATGTTTTGTTGGGAGAGGCTGTACCTATTAGTCCTTAGCTTTTGGCTGTGGATACTCTTGAAACAATTTTCAAAAAAAAAAAAATATATGCAATTTATCTCGGTTATGGTCCTCTGTGAATGCTCACGCAAAATATTTGGCTCTACTAGTATCGTCTTATTTAGTGACTAACAACAGCTGCACTTGACCATATGGCTGGAACAATTACACTGATACATGAAATATGATCTCATATGTTGTGAGTCGATCATAAATAAATTAATGATTTTTCTGTCTCTATTTTAATGTTTTCTTCTCTCATCACTGATAATTTGTTTATGAGAATAATTGAAATTAAGAAAATATGTTTCTTATGTTGTATGAGATAATTTGTCTCATATATCACATAAAAAAGATGGGTGAGGTTTATTTTTTTCTTTCTCTTTTTCTTAGAGGATTTTACTTATTTTTTTGTGTTGCATGAGATATGTTTTTCTTGAAATTATCTCATATGAAGTGATAATGTTAAATGAGATATTAGAAAATTTAGTAGCTCCGTAGCACTGAGATTTAAAGGTGGAGCCATCGAGCCTAGTAATATTAAAAAAATAAAAATAAAAAATGGTCTTTAATCATAATTTTTTAATAGGAGGTGGCCATTGAAATTGCTAGATGGCCATTAGAACTTTTAAATGTTTTCTCTAGCACTGGAATAAGGGGTCTGGATTTATATTTAATTGAAGGATCATCAAATTAGTTAGAGGAAAAAGAATACTATGTTCAGTCTTTGTTAGATATTAAAACGTCATTCACAAAATGCTTAGGTGTTTGGTTTTTTTTCTCTCGATTTTTTAAATAAAAGTTGAATCAAATATTTTCAGATTCAAAATTCTATTTCATGAGGGAGCCAAGATTTATTTTTGTAAACACCACCTTGAACTTGAATTTTATTCACCAAGATACTTATGGCGCCAGCGAATACAGCAAACATTTATTTATTAGCAGTCGGCATTAAGAAAGATAAATTGATTATAACTATACGAAAATACTAGACAACCAGAATTCTCTTACAAAAATTTTTGTCCAAATGAATTGGCATTGTTCCATAGACTCAAAAATAGATGAGAAGTTCTATCATTTTAGCTTATCTAATAACCACCCTTAAAATATTGGTAACTGAAAATTTAGATATGTTCAAAATTAACATTCTCATCCATGAAAAATAATATCGCTAAAGATTACTGGTGAACTACAAAGCGAGCAATGATCAACGATTGTTAACAACATTACAACATCAAAGCACTATATCTGTGAGACACACAAAAAAAAAAAAAAAAAAGTTTTATTTTGATCGCAATTTAAAAAATTTGTTTTCTTTCATATTTTTATAAATTGTTTCGTATAAATTATAAGGCCCTAAAAACATGAAACACCATTTGAATAAAATAATGGCTACAAATAAATATTCCGAATCAAATAAAAAATATCATAATACTACTAAGACATGCTTGCACTGCAGTTACTATTCACAACATTTTGAACAAGTTCATACTGAAGCAACTTTATTCATACCCCATATTATAAATACATTGGTGTTTAACATGAGCATGAGCATGGACATGAAACGTAATTACATATATTTTGTTCAAAATAAGACAGTTTGTAAAGTTGCATTGCAGTATCTAAAGATTGAACATGACCTTAATGGCATTACCACCGCGAGCACTTATTTCAAAGGCTTCTTCCACTTCCTTTTGAGAGAACCCAAACCTGTGAGTTATAAGGGGTTTCACATCAATTTTGCCACTCCTTAGAAACTCAAGGCAAAGAGGCCATGTGTTCTTATAGCGGAAAATGCCAATCACATCAACTTCCCTGTATTTTGTATAATAAACCATCATTATTGAACATTGCATGAATGAAGAAAAATTAAGGCGTGCAAAAATAAAATAACTCATATGACATGCATTTTTCTTAAATTACTTTATGACATGAATAAGTGCCTATTAAATTTGAATGAATATATAATGTGGTAAAACTATTCCTTTGTGACTGAAAAGTCATGGGTTCGAGTAGCAGTGGTAAGAGTGCTTCGTTGTAACTAGAATGTCACGCGTTTAACTCTATGAAACAATCTCTTCGTAAAAAATGCAAGGAAAACACTGCATACAATCAACCCTTATTCCTACTTTTGCAAAGTCGGGAAGTATATAAAGTGAATATTTTATCTTGCATGCATAAAAGCTTTTAGTTAAATTTTTTATTAAATATTTGATCCTTATGGAGTTCTATTTTTGATCCATCCATGACAAGGATGTTGTTTACCTATTGATACATACTCATTACTCAGACCAAGTCTCATACCTTGCAGCAGCTGGGGTGAGTGGTACAGTCATTTCAGAATGACCCATTCCCACTAGACAAACTTTGCCACCTGGCTGTGTTGCACTCAATGCTGTAGACATGGTTTTGTTAAAACCAGCACAATCAAAGGTAACATCTACACCAGCTCCCATAACCTTATGTATCTGTACAACTTCTTCTGCTACATCCTGCAAAGCAATGTATTTAAAGTTTGGTTTAATTACAGTAAACATTATTTGAATGGCATTCTTCCAAAATGGCATTACAGAAACCAAGTATTAAAACTTGACTAGCAAAGAAAGAGAACAACAGATTATAATCATAAAGAACCAATTTAACCCAAAAGCTTAAGTGGATAGATAACAAAACATTAATAGTTTTATGTTTTATATTAACATGTCTCCTCACACAAGAGTCCATTGTGATTGAAGGGTGGACAATGCACAAGCCACCTACATGTGCTTAGAAATTCGACAATATTTAATTATTTATTATAGAACGGTGAAGATTGAAGTCTAGACCACTTGGTCATAAAGGCTCTGGTACTAAAGAACCAATTCAATCCAAAAGTTTAAGCTATTAGGAAAAGACATATTACTACTTTTATATTTTATATCATATTTCTCTAACATCAATAAAATAGTAGATCTTTTGAGGAAAAAATGGTACAACAATGTAAACAACTAGGCATAACCTGGATGTATAAGAAATGAAGAAAGCAACATATGGCCAGTAAAATTTGACAATCACACACCTAACTTTGAAGCAGTATGTTAATATACCAGTTTCCTTCATATTTTTTTTAAATCACTGTTTGTGGACTAGCACAGCATCAACAACCACTCAAATACATGCAAATTACTGTAACGATTGATACAAGAAGTATTGCAGAAAGGGATTGTCTGGCATGTTAACTGTTAAAGAAGAAAATATGGCATACTTTGGCAAACTAGGGATTCAATATACCTGAATGTTTGTTGAAACTTTGATAATATTATCTGCACCAAGAGTTTTTGCAACAGACAAACGATGGTCATCCACATCCACAATGATGATCCTGGGTGCCCCAAAAGCACGAGCTGCAAGCATTGTAACAAGTCCTATGGGTCCTGCTCCCATGATCAACACATTTGTTTCTGGACCAATATTAGCACGCCTACAAGCATGAACACCAACACTTAAGGGTTCACACATTGCTCCCTCCTCCAAGCTCACATTATCTGGCAGTTTAAAACATAGGTCTGCTGGGTGCACTACCTGTACAGAGAAAAATGCAACTCAAACATAAGTTTTTATTGGAGTAGATCTATTTCACCACATATAAATATGGTGAGACAGAGTGACATGAATATATACAAGTATGGGGGTTATAGCATGGTTTTATTTGTTATCATACCTAAAACCATCATTATGATTGTATTTTACAGGTCAAGTTTATATGTAATTGTGAAACTGTGAGACAAACAATATTTCGTAATTTACAATATATAGTAAAAGCTCCATTGCAAGAACTAAGATGGAATGGAATTCTATATTATCATTTTCTTCTATCAGTCAGTTAGAGTTTTGCTAGGATTCTGCAGATAATGCAGTTTTGTTAACTGATACTGTTTTAAGTCACATGAGATTTGACTTGATCTTGTCATTGTTCCTTTAAAATTCTTATATTTAGAAATGCCAAGAATACTTACAATTATACATATGACTGAAAGAATTATACTTTGAGAAGCTGTGAATTCTTTCAAACCTGATTAGCCAGTGAACCATGAACTGGTGGAGTAGCAAAAAACTTCATATCAGGGCATAAATTATATCTACCCTGTTTGCAGGGATCACATCGCCAACAACTGATCCCAGGCTCAATTGCCACACGGTCACCAGCCTCCAAATTCTTCACCTCACTACCAACTTCTTCAATGATCCCAGCACACTCATGACCAATAACCATAGGTTCTTTTACTATAAAGTCTGCCAATCTCATTGCCTGAAAGTAAACAAGACAATAAAATTTGAAACTTTTTATCAGAATGAAAATAGATAAACGCAAGAAAAAAGGGCAAATCACAATACATTAGGCTCTCAGGCTTGAGAGGGTAGAGGTAAGAATTGATTGTACGCAGCCTTATCCTTGTATTTTTGCAAAGAGACTGTTCCAAACTCAAACCTGTTTCCTGTCACAAGAACTTACCTCTACTCTAAGGCTCACCCTCGATAATCACAGGGAATAACCCCTTTAATCAAAATGTCCAACCAAAGCAAGAATTATCTTATATTCTTTTGATTTAGCAGAAAGTGGAAGAAAAAAAAAATAGTTATCCATCTAATGAAATCATATATTGCTAAAGTTATTAAAGTCTACATATTTTGTAGCAAATTAATTACAGAAATAGATCATCAAACTCCTCCAACATTAAGTTTATCCTTTTTATATTTTAACAGAAATCAGGTGCAACAGAATAATATCTACCTTGACGTAGTGAACATCACTCCCACAGATACCAACAGCCTTCATTCTAACCCTGACATCATGGGGTCCTTCCAAAATACAGAATGAAGTAAGCCAATCATTTCACAATGAACTTAGTGTGCAGTGTAAACTAAACAACAATACATGAAAAGCACCAAAAAAAAAAAAAAACAGAAATGTTATTACCAAGAGGAGGAAGCTTGAAAGGTTGAATCTTGAGAGTGTTAATACTAACAAGCCAAGCAGCCATATTCTCTTGTTCAACACCATCTTTTCCTTCCCCATGATCATCAATTGACATACCCCCTTTACCCATTTGTTCACTAACTACAACTCTTGTCTCTCTCAAATTTTGAAGCTATCACAGTGAGAACAACAACACTATGGGGCTTTTAGTTTTGGAAAACTGGTATTGCCATGACTCGTATCATGTCCCTTTCTTCAATATGTTTTATTATTATCAATAAATGGATGGTGGTTTTGTGGGTGATATTGGATTGTTCTCATCCATAACCTTGTGCAGAGATTCTATTCTCCTAATAGATAAACATGAAATTAATGACCTACCGAAACTTTTTTTTTTTTTTTTTAATAAGGTATTCTTGGATACCATTGAAAATAAACACTATTATATGTAAAAATTATGTACAATTTTCACTTGAATACATTTACTTCTTATTTCAAATTCAAATTTAATGTTTATTTGTTAAAGCTGATAGTTTTTAAGCGACGAATACTCTTAATAAATTGAAAATGTTACATGGAATATTCAATATAGTCGTCTTGCTCTTGCCTAAAGTGAAGTATTTGTATTCACAAAGATTTCAACCTAAGACTTACTTAAACGAAATTAAACATGTATCACTTAAATCAACTATTTTTAATTATTGAAGAATAATTCTGATCACACCAGTTCAATACGAATTGAGTTAAAACATACACGGTTGAAAGATAAAGACTTTGGGCTATAAATAGTGTTTTGTGGGCCTAAAACGTTCGCCGAGTATTTGAGAGTTGGTGGATACTTCTGGCACAATGGAGATGATTGGTGTAACACCCTGTGTATACCCGGTTTGTTAACATGTCATCGTATTAAGCCACACTTTATTAAAAATACGAAATAGCTTTTTACTTTCAATTATGACGTCATTATCCTTAGCGAAGTTGATTACTTAATCATTTTCATAAAAACATTGTCTGTATGTAAATTGCAAATAGACAACTATTTACACTGAATATCCTCATAATATAGATAAGTGAGTATCTAAATCACGAATCTACAACACGTAGTCAAGACAATATCCTGATACATTATACAATTCAAATAAACTCAAACATAACAGAAATCAATGTGGCATGGATAACCCCCATGCTCACCAAATAAGGCAACAAGGCACAACAGAGTCTCAACAATATCAACATAATCATAAAGATAACATGTCAGCATCCAGCACAGAATCATAAAAGCAAACATCTAACTCAGCTCCGGCCTCTTGTCGCCCGAGGTCTAAACCCCTGGTTACCTGAACCTGAACCTGAAATATGTGCCCCAAACGTGGGGTGAGATCTCTAAACAGAAATCTTAGTAAGACAAGGGGTCCTCAAGGATCTTCCACCCCAAGCTCACTTACATGTGCAATATAAGTTTCAAAGGCAGTTTAACAGTATAAGTTTCAAAACTAGTGCAATGCAGTAAATAATCATGTCATGTGTGTTATAACTAATCTACTGGCCAGAGAGATGCAGGAATACGTCTATTACCCACACAGTACGCGCCAATGCCGTACCTGCCCACAGGAACTTAATCCCGTCTAGGCGAACACCACATGCATATCATAAGGCACTTGCACTTAACAGCTCAATAGCATTGCAATAAAACAATACATGAAAACACATCATGCATATAAACCATCCCCCATGGGATATGGTGGAACCAACAATGGCTAAACCGTGGACACAAAAGCTTACCTTGCAAGCTAACTATCCAAGCCAAGAGTCCACACAAGCTCAAAGTCCACAAACAACAGAATCACAATCTGTTTTAGACCAGCAATATCATCAACAATCATACTTACAAACATATCACATAAAGACAACGTTTTCCTTTTACGTTTCATGTCTTTAGGCTTCTCATAAAGCCACAAACAAGCCCGTAATCACTTAGAATCTAACTTTAGTTATTTATTACAGAAGTCCACATTAACTAATCATGGATCCACAAACCAAAAATAGCATTTTGTATGAACATTACCGTTACTGTTCTCGAAAACCCAGAATATCCGGATATATGTCGGGGCCATATCTATCATATCCGGATATGCATATCCGGATATCAATATCCGGATATGCGACAGAATGCAATTTCTGCAATTCGCGAGATATCACTTCCAATGTTCCATTTTTAACACTTCTAAACGTTAAAGCATGCATCTTTAAACCCCTTTAGGTCAGTTATCACGTTGGTTACTTGTTTATCTTATTAAACATGCCAAGACTCAACTTTTAAGCAACTAAAACCCATGATCAAGGTGATGAAGCTTACCCAAGCTAAAAACAGAGCAACAATGGCTCTTGGAGCTCTCACAACAGCTCCCCAAGTTCTAACTTGCAAGGCAAACGAAAATGGCACACCAATGGTTGGTTCTTTGCACAAAAGATGACTTCTTGGCACCATAAATGCCAAGCCAAAGGTGAACACACTCACCAAACTCAGAGGCAGCAACCACAACCCCTCTCACAGCAACCCCAACTCAGCAAGAAGGTCTCACACCACTCCCAATGCTTTATCTCACTCACGCAAGGATGTTTGGTGAAGGAAGTATGAAGAAAAGCCCCTTGGAAGGTCAAGAAATGGTGGAGAAGGAAGGGCTGCAGCACACACACTCAAAACCCACGTAGAGAGGCTGATCATGGCCTAGGGTTGTGTGCAAAATGAGTATATATACTGGTTAAGTCTTAAACACACAGTATTAGCTCAAATAGTTACGCTTAGCATTTTAATCTCAAACTTAGGATTCTGAAACTACTCATTTTTCTAAGATTTGTCATATTTTTTATTTTATTTTTCGCAGCATCTTTCCGGTACGCGCTTTTACATAGCCAGTATCAGTTCTGGCACCAGTTCTCATTATTTTGACCTGAAACTCGTTATGCTAGTCTTACATATTTTTCTAGTGACATATACATACTTTTCATAATTTTCTGGGATACTTCCTCGGTACGCATTTATACCGTGGAGCAGAGCCGGTATCTGCACTTTTTGTCAGAAAAGCGACTTCCAGCATTCTTAATCACTTACTATAATTATTTAAGCTTTCTCATAATTATTAGGGTCAATTATGGAATTATTTCCTAATTCTCCTATTTATTTAATTAATTTCCTAAATTAACGGTGCATGTTCTTACAATTGGGGGTACCGCAAAGACACTCTGATACTCAAATCAATATCAATGCTAAGTTTGTGTTATGTTTAATGGGAATCAGATGATCATACCTGAGTTTGTACCCTTCATATTTATAGCAAGCCTTATGTCGCCTTTGGTAGGCGGTATGCCTTCTTATTGGTTGTTATGGATTGCAGACTTATATGTCTTAGCTGGTGCCTATCAGGCTATAAGTCTATATATTTGTCGGTCTTCTTAGAGTGGTGGCAAGATGGAGCTGTCTTTCGTGCGTTGGTCTGTATGCGCGGTGGATCCCAGCCTTTTACTGAATCTTTCCTAAGCCTTTAAATCACATAAGGCGGTTCAGCGCAATGCCTGTATTTCACGTTATTGTTGGTTCGAAAATCTGCTCCATAGTCATACTATGGAGCGCATACATGGGTGGAAAAACAAAAAAAAATTGGGTGCGGAAGCATAGACCATCTATACACCCCATGTATGAATGCTTTTCGTTGAAACGAGATGGGTTTCAGAATTACCTTTTCACTTGTAGGCGCAAGAGGATGACGCCCTCCAACGGTGATCCACACGGTTATCTCCTTCTTGCTAGTGAGAACTCTTTCTCCTTGATCCCTCCTTATCCTCGGTGGCTGGCTAGGCGCATGTAAGGAAGAGGCTACCAAGTGTTTGGATTATCTCAAGACTGTAATGGTGTCTTGAGGTTAGGTGATGGTGCAAGCAAAGAGAGGGAAGAAGAAAGGTTGAAACTTTTCCTAGAACCCTAAGAGGAGAGAGGGAGCATCAGTTTTTCTGATTATGATCAACTACATCAGCTCCCCTATGTTAGGCGCACATATTGAATGATGAGATGATCTATCTTTGCTTGATCCTCTCACTTCATAACAAACCAGACTGTTGGGAGCCTTTGGAAGCTTCATGACTTAAATTCAAAATTCAAGCATGGACCATATCCATTTGTTCCATGAAATCTGATGCAGAATCCAGTCAGGATCTCTCTCCACATAGGCGCCCATTTTCCCTCTTCTTCCCTCAGAAAGTTTGTTGCAACAATGTTCTTTTGAATTCTGAATTCAAATGAAGAGCAGTGAGAGAATCTTCATCCAATCTCTATTGGATAATTCTTTTAAATAATTTAAATTATGCTAAGATTATTTAAATCATCCTCAACAACCTAACCTCATAGAATTTAAAATTCAAATTCCAATTTGAAATTTAAACTCAAATATAAATTCAATCTTATCCCAGTTCGTAATTCGAATTCAAAATTCAAAATTCAAAAATTCAATGGATTCATGCCCCAAGGCCTCTTTGGCCTACCATCATATTTGGGCCCATTAGTGGAGAAAACTCTTTCACCACTAATGCCCCAAAAGGGCGCATGGATCAAATGGGTTTGGAGTCCCTACTCTAACCCAACTTGACTCATAGTCTTGACAAAGTCCAACAACTCATTATTGGCCTAAACTTGCTATAACTTGCAATAAGGAATAACCTTTGTGTGTGACCCATTAGGCCCAATTAGTTACTGACATAAATAAACTTGAATCAGCTAAACTCCTTTAAAAGGCTCAATCTATTTAATGACTACATGATACACTAGCAATGCTCTGTAGCCCCAGAACTAATTGAGTTGATCAAGTGATCTACCTTTCTGATTTGGATACTGTGCTAGTATTATCCCTCACATCGTCATTCACATTTAGTCGAGAGCAAGGATAAAGTATCATCTCTCTTTATTGACTAAATATAATATTTCACATGAACTAGGAATCTTCTTCTATTGACTCTAAGACAGATCATAACTCTTCATGATCTCTTACTATGCATAGATTCTTGAGTCAACTAGAAGTCACCAAGCCCTACCGGTCTTTGTGAACGACTAATCCCTTATAGGGGATTGTGAGTCCTTTCGGCATGTCCATCTATACTCATGTATTCGAGTTATACCCAAGAGTACACTCTTCTCCCCATTTTCAGGCGGATAGAGTTGTACAGTCAAAGTATAACTCTAGGACATAGTATTCGATGACATCCTTAAGTCTAGGACGATCCGCACTACCAAACGATGAGAGACTTTACAAATCCAATGATACTCTTCATAATGAATCCTTGTGGAGTCTCTCGGTAGATCAGTTCAGTGCTATCTGTTCTCCAACAGATCCACCCACGGCATCAGCTAAGGCATCACCATGCCTGCGTTCCATGAGGTCCCTACCTTGTATCTCCATACAAGCAGATGATGTCATACTAGTCTTATTGATATCACCAATACCCTTTCTTGGTGATTCAAGACCAGGAACAGATTTTAGGCAATAGACATTCAGTGTCCTCGAGTCCTCATGATCATGATCCCTATCATAGATCCCCGAGTGAACACTTGTTCTATTTCTAGGGTCTTTATCTTTAAAAGCATATTAACAATAAAATATTGGCGAGACATAAATATGATAAAGATAAAGTTTGCTCAAATTTATTAATCATGAAGTACTAAATAGAAAAAAAAGTGTTCATCTGATAAAATAGATTGTCTCTAGGACACCTATATACTAATAGTTATGAGGCCATTGCGCTACTTGACCCTTCTGTGCAATGCCTATATCTCGTGTTATGAGGCCTATGTACTGCTTGAGTCCTTTTTGGGCCTTAATCCTGGTGGATCTATATAATTATCCAAATCAAACTCTATATGTGAAGGGGACACACGGATAGTTTAAGAAAAATGTACAACTTATTAATGATTATTGGTTGAAAAATTAAAGGATTATATTTTAATAACTTCACAGTTTATTATGCATATGTACATACCTTTTATAACAGTACTGTTGTTGTTTTTTAATTAATGAGTATAATTCTATAATTTTTTTTTATCTAAAGTTCACCTCTCCCTTATAAAAATTCCCATATTTATATGTTTATATTTTTAATTTTTACAACTTTCAACCTACCATCCAGACTCCAAGTGAGATATACTAAAGACCAATAGACGCAGGACAAGTCAACTTTTTCTGAATCAACAATATTGAGATGTTTAGTGGTGAAAGATTTGTATTACACTTAAGCTAGCCAAATCGGAAATATTGCCACAAAGGTTAATTTGATTTCTATTTCCAAAAATCGTTTTTAGTTTTTTTTTTTTAAATTGTTTGATAAGTATTGTTTTGTGAAAATAATTTTCAAAGTATTAATTATTTTTTAATTTTTAAAACTAAAATCAAAGATCATCTTATGTTGTAAAAAATTATTTTTTGATTTTATTATATTTGCTGTGACAATTTTGTAAATATGAAGGTTTGTTAATGATATTTTCATAAATTAATTTTTTTTTGATCTTAAATTATTTTGTGGTGTTAGTTTTATAATTATGAAGGTTTATTAATATTATTTTTGTAAAAAATTTCTTGTTCTCTAATTTTCAAATTTAATTAAATTTTTTTTAAAAAAAATTAAAAATAATAAAATCCAAACCGTGCCAAATTCATTTCTTATAAAATATGAGTCTCTTACGTTTACGTTGGTGAGAGAATCCACTTACTGACATTTCAAAATTTTTGAGGTGTCGTGTCTGACATTTTTCGACACTCTGACATTTTTCAACACTTTAATACTCGTTTTAGTGACTCAAAAAAGTTTTAAAGGTTACATTGCGTTTGATTTTGAGTTTCAATTATTAAATTCGTTGAATTACGATTATTATTTTATTGAGTTTAATATAAATATTTGAGATATCTTATGTTTTTTTGTAAAATTGATGGATATTATAAGTTTATTTTTGTTTTTTATTAAATTATTGAATATTAAATATAATACATATTATATAAATTAAAAATATTATATAATATTAAAATATGTTCTAATATTTTAAAATTTAATATTTTTTAAAATTAATATATCGGATTGTAACTTCGAGCGCATGACTCGCATGAGTTTAGTACAAAAGATGATAGATACAATGACAATGATGCATTGAATAAAGTCATTCTTATGGTGCACAGAGAATAAGGCGTGAAATAACAAGCCACAAACAAGGTTATTCCCATAAAATATGAGTATCTTGCGTTGGTCATATTTGTCAGACTTAATATACTAAGTGGCATTAGTATAGTACAAAAGATTATGGTTACACTGACAAGACAATCACGTGGATGGAACATTATTGGGCGACTATTTTTTTGTTTTTTAAAATTTCTTCAAGGATTCATCGATTATTGATTAATTTGATCGAGTTGGACAAAATTATAAGATCAATAAATTTTTTTTTACCAAATTTTAAATACATTTGTATATTTAGATTTGAACTCAAAACCACTAATTAACAATTCACCTTCTATTCGAGTGTTTGGATCGAAAGCTCATCAATAGGATTAACACTAATATTATTAATCAGAAACAACACTTTCTACTTATTTTTGTTTATTTAATATTACTGTTGTTGGATAAGTACTTATCAATAACCCAAAGCTAAAAGCCTAGATAGACAGAGAAATAAACAAAGAGACACTTTATGCAGATGAAATGCTCAGCTAGAACAGAACAAAAGAGAATAAGGTATACACTATACAGATACAAAAAAGAAACACAGAAATGTCACAAAGTGTGGATGAGAGAAGTGAAGATGGAGAGCTCAACATGGCTGCTTGGATTCTTGGAGTAGAAAATCTCTCAATTCAACCCTACCCACTTCCTTCTTTAGGTTAGTTCTCTACAAAGTTCATGAACTTCAAACCAAAATCCTAGTATCATGTTTATGTTCATGAGATGTGAAGGGAATAAGTGAACAATTTCCTTCTGTATTAAGCAAATTAAAAGAAAATTCATAGCAGCTCATAAGTTTACTGTTAACATAAATTGTTAATTTCAGGTCCCCATGATGTCAAAATTAGAATTAAAGCTGTGGGTATTTGTGGAAGTGATGTTCATTATTATAAGGTAAAGCAAAGAAGCATATTATCTTCTATATGTTGCTTATCACACCTGAATTCCAAACAGTTATTAGCTCAATTTTATTTGTTAATTTCTTGGTTTGAAATTTGGATGCTACCTCTGTTGTTAGACAATGAGAGTTGCTAATTTCATTGCTAAACCAATGGTCTTGGGGCATGAGTCTGCTGGAATCATAGAAGAAGTTGGCACTCAAGTTAATTCTCTTCAAGTAGGAGATAGGGTGGCTTTGGAGCCTGGAATTGGTTGCAAAAGATGCAATTTTTGCAAAGAGGGTCGCTACAATCTTTGTCGCCAGATGAAATTTTTTGGCTCTGCTGCCTCTGGATCAACTCATGGTTCTCTTGCCAATAAGGTAAAGTTTTAGCACATGAGGACCTTTTCTATACTGTTGTGTGTTGCCTTGGTATTATCCTATGATACGGTTCAAATAGGTTTCATAAACATCTGAGTTCAGTAATTCATCAAAGTGTATGCTTAAATTAATAGATTAGATATTTCTCTCATAGGATGCACTTAAAATTAATACATTACATATTTCTTATATTATGAATAAATAACTAATTCATGGCCCAAAGTAGCCAATCAATCAGTTTTTTTTTATTCTTATAAACTATCCACTTTCATTTGTTTATATATACGAACATTACGACCCCACTTTTCTAATCTACTTGTGGTTTTTATTTTTGTTTTTTCATTCCAATTTCAACTAATATGCATTGCATGTGAGTTTTGGTTGAAAAGTTTTCATCAGTTTAGTTTATTTTCTTATGAGGGTATTTCTGATGTCATTCTCTATGTGTTTAGCATTCAGCTCAACAAAAATTCTCTGTGGTAGTTGCATACAGGTTAATTAACTAAGATCACGAGTTGGGTGTTCGCATATATCAATAAATTCCAAGAACCTAACATTGAGGAATTGATGGCTAAACTTTGCATATATTCAATAACCAGTAAATGTTTTCATCTTACTAACTAAATCTTAAAATTTGAGTGCCAGTAAAATTTTCATGTTGCAAGGAATTCTTCTATTCAATTGTCAGGTGGTGCATCCAGCCAATTTATGCTTTAAGCTACCAGATAATGTGAACTTTGAGGAAGGAGCTATGATTGAACCTCTTAGTGTTGGAGTTCATGCTTGTCGCCGTGCAAATATCAGTCCAGACACAAATATATTGATCATAGGAGCAGGACCTATAGGCCTTGTTGTATCACTTGCCGCCCGTGCATTTGGAGCACCAAGAATCATCATTGTTGATGTTGATACCTGTCGTTTATCAATTGCAAAGGATCTTGGTGCAGATGAGATTATTCAAGTTTCAACTAACATCAAGGTTTCAGTTTATACTCCACATTACTTCATTCTTTTCATTGCCTATGTACAATATATTTGGTATGTGACCAATTTTGTTCCTTTTTTTTCAATGACATAAGAGGGCGAACTTAGAGTAGTGGTAAAGTTGTTCCTTTGTGATTGAAAAGTCACGGGTTCGAATTCGAAAAACAGTTTCTTTGCAATTATGTAAAGGTAAGGCTGCGTAAAGGATTGTCTCACCCCCCTCTCGCCGGTCGGGGTTTAATGGATAGTGGTTTTTATTTTTAATGACATCAGAAGTTACTACATTTTAAATTTTTGATTAGCAAGCTTTTTATCTAGGACATGGAGGAAGAAGTGGTGCAAATCCGAAATGCCATGGGTTCTGGGATTGATGTCAGTTTTGATTGTGTGGGCTACAACAAAACCATGTCCACAGCCCTGAATGCCACTAGCTCTGGGGGCAAAGTTTGCCTCATTGGATTAGCTCAAACTGAAATGACTGTTCCCCTTACTCCAGCATCTGTAAGGTAACAAATTTGCCAACAAAATTTGTGGGGGTGCCTGAAAATGAAATATCTTAGTTATTTTACAATGAAATCAATATTTTTGGTAGAATAAGATGTTAGATGGCCTTTCTCTATGCTCTTTCATGATACTTTGATTTTGTTACAGTTAATAATATTTTGAGACTTTCTTGAATTATAGGGAGGTTGATGTGATTGGGATATTCAGGTACAGAAACACTTGGCCCCTTTGCCTTGAGCTTTTGCGCACTGGCAAGATTGACATCAAGCCACTGATAACTCACAGGTTTGGGTTCTCTCAGAAAGAGGTGGAAGAAGCCTTTGTAACCAGTGCTCAAGGGGGTAATGCTATTAAGATCATGTTCAATCTTTGAAGTATTTCTAGCATTGTTCAAGCCAGATTGATAAATAACCACTTAAAAGAAAATAATAAAAGATGTATCACATTTCATGGCATAACCAATATAGGCAGATATCATGTTCAATCTTTATAGGGAGAGATGGAAAACCTGCCTCCCAGCAATGCTGTTCCATTTTGACTACTGTATAATTATAATAGCCAAAATGAGCTTAAATGTTTATGTATTCTGAGAGTAATATGCTATTCTAATTATATTTAATATAAAACAACTGCTACAAAAATGTAAGCACATACTACATAAAAATGTGGAGATATATCATTTATCCTTGTAGAGATGCTAGTATATGTATATTTCTTCACCTATCTTCGATAATCCACCTATTCTTTCAGCCTAATGAGCTGTGGCTTATTGTTACTTAATTTTTAGGGATTTGTTAATCTCATGTAGCATAAGATGGCTTATCACATGTTATAGAAACAAATAATGTGGGTTCCATCATTTTAAAAAATAAAAATAAAATAAAATAATGATAGGACTTTTAATGTTTTACTAGCATAAGAGAGTTCTCTTCTGCAACATAAGATAATTTAAACCCTAATTTTTAATTCTAAACCAGTGTCACTAAGAAGAAAAGGAAACAGAGATAGCAGAATATAAAAGAGTGATTATTTTGCGGAAAGAGGATATATAAATGAGTTTGAATAAAATCTATTTTCCGTGTAAAAATATTTAGAAATAGTGTTTTAATCAATACGGGTGAAAATGGATCTGGATTCTCTAATGTAAAAAATCATATGATCATGTTATGTGGGAAATCATAACCATACAAAAACAGATCAATGGTAATAAATGAGGAGAGAGAAAATATATTAAAATAGATAGTTATAAAATCATAACCGTTGGTTTACCTTTGTATGGTTGTGATATTCTCACATGACCATGTCATGTTTTTTTTCCACATTAGAAGATCCATTTCCGGTGAAAATAGATTATGTTAGGCTGGTTTTTGCCCAAAATGGCATACTTTTTTTTTTTTTTTTAAATGTTGGCTTGAGATTAATATATTATTTTTTTGGAAAGATTTCTCTTGTAATTTTACATGTTCGGACATTTCGAATCGCTCATGGACTAATCCAGAATTTAAGACGGGTTGAGGATTAAGATTTTAAACTCCTCACGACATGATATTGGTGAGAATTAATATGTTATTTATTATGTTCGTTACAATAATTAATTTAAACATTGATTGGATGCGATTCTTTATTTTCTTCTTCTAATACTCTTCCTCTCTGAAATCTACTCCCCAAGATAGTAAGAACAATTATATGGTAGGAACCTCAAGAAATTTCAGAATTTGGGATTAAAAACTATGGTCATTTAATGTAATATATACTACATCATGCTCAATGGTTCAAAATACCTGCTTAAAAAATTAGTAAAGTCTTATTTAAAATCCTACACAGTTACGCCGTAATAATTATCAACACACAAACTTCAGTTGTAAGAGTTATTTACCTTAACTTTTAGAATAATTCACTACGAAACCTAAATAAGGAATCATATATATATATATATATATATATATATATATATATATATATATATATATATATGAGGTAGGATCCTTTAACACCGGTGTCAAATTTCAATTTTGACACCTCATCTGAGACCCGTTAGATCAAAAAAGATCAATGGTGTCACATGCTTGCAAATCAGAGTCGTTGATCTTTATTGATCTAACGACTCTCAGATAAGGTGTCAAAATTGAAATTTGACACCGGTGTCAAATGATCCTACCTCTCTCTCTCTCTCTATATATATATATATATATATAGGGGAAAACATTTCTACAGCCACTTTAAATAAAATTATTTACAGCTATCTCTTTTTCACTAAGTATGACCGGTCATACTTTAAAATTATATTTTCTCTCTCCGTCATGTCAGCCGACAATGTCTGAGGAAAGAGAAAAAAAGAACAGCTTTATTAAGTATGACCGGTCATACTTAGTTAAAAAGGGATAGCTGTAGATAACCTTATTTAAAGTGGCTGTAGAAATACTTTTCTTATATATATATATATATATATATATATATTAAATCCTATACGGTTAGGCCTTAATAATTATCAACACACAAACTTCAGTTGCAAGAGTTAGTTACCCTAACTTTTAGAATAATTCACTACGAAACCTAATTAAGGAATATCAACAATTAAAATTAAAAATGTAACTATGTGTTTAACATACTAAACCTATGCTACCTTGATCAAAATCACTCTTCCAACAAAATTTCGTCATTCCTATTCCATGGAACTGAAAACATACATAGCCATACAATTTTTTAAATTATCATTAATAGCAATATAAAACTCAATCCAACTATTTTCTTCCACGAAGCATTTTTAGAAACACCTTACGGCTCTTTCACCGATTGAGGTTTTTTGTGATTTTCATTTATCAATTTGGTATTTGGTTCAAGGTATTTACGAATTGGGGTCATTTAGTGACGCGAGGGGGACCCAGCGTCACTGAGTGCCGCTACCATCCCCTCGCGTCACTCTCACTTTTTTTATTTTTTTTTTACTTTTTCCTATTGAGTGCCGCCCCCCCTCCCCTGGGGCACTCACAGAATTGTGCCAAGTGGCACAATCTGGTTACTCATATTACCGTAAAACTTCGGAAAGCCATAACTTTTGACTCGGGTATCCAAATTAGATGATTTTTTTTTATTTCACATAATTTTTCGAGATCTACGCAATGACATCTCAATTGACATATTTTATCTCTCACAAACATAATTCAAATCTGTAAAAAAGTGTAATTAGTGTTGCAAATTTGAACTATATTAATAGAAGATAAAATATGTCAAATGAGATGTCATTGCGTAGATCTCGAAAAGTTATGTGAAATCAAAAAAAAATCATCTAATTTGGATACCCGAATCAAAAGTTATGGCTTTCCGAAGTTTTACGGTAATAGGAGTAACCAGATTGTGACACTTGGCACAATTCTGTGAGTGCCCCAGGAGAGGGGGACGGCACTCAATAGAAAAAAGTAAAAAAAAATAAAAAAAGTGAGAGTGACGCGAGGGGATGATAACGGCACTCAGTGACGCTGGGTCCCCCTCGCGTTACTAAATGACCCCATTCATAAATAGCTTTAACCCAATACCAAATTGATAAATTAATGAAATAAATACCCTAGTGGGTAAAAGAGCCAACACCTTATGGGGTTTATAACTAGGCAAGAATGCAATATAAAGTGGTCATTTATTTTTCTCACACCTGACACACCCATGCCCCCATCTTTTCCAAGGTTGTAGTCCATCATGCTGTGTCCGAATCCAAACCATGTTATATGTTTCTTAAATTCTTAAAAAAACGAAAACTTGAATTTCACTTCTTGTGATTAAAGTGTGTATTATTTAACCATGTATTTTCAAGTTTATCACTTAGATTCATTGTGATTGTAATTTACATTACTTCAGTGCCAAAAATACTTTCACTATAAAAATACCCTTAATAAATAAATATATAAAATACTAAATTATAAATAAAATATAAAAATATCCCTAATTAAAATAAAACCTTAAGCTAATTTTGCATTTTATAAATATAATGTTAATAGAAGAAATTAAAGAAATTTAAGTAAATACTCATGATCCGTTAAAGGTACATCAAAAATCTCATTTTGAAGGACTAGTTTATTGTCAAATATACTACTGAAAGACTATTTTAATGTATTTATGATTAAACTACTAATGATATATACTTGTATTTTAAAATGTCAAAATACGTCAATAAAATTTTAAACATAAGGACAGGAGGAAATGATTGCTTTCAGTATTATTGAGCAAGTGGCTTCTTTACCTAGGATGTGGAAGAACACCTAGGGAGAGAGTAGGTGTTTTTAAGTTTTTCAAAAAAAATTTCTTAGTAGATCCTTAGATCTCTAAAGTCTAGACAAAATTGAATTAACAAGTCCAATAATCACACCAACTCAACAAGATTGATAATTATCAATTTATTTTGCAAGTTTAGTTCAGATAACAGTCATACAGTTATAACAATTTTATTAATTTTACCTTAAGTTCCTATATGCCCAAAATGATTTCAATATGATGTATATCAATACAAAACGTACTTGACCTTTTATTTTACAGAGCAAACATAGCAACAAGCTTTCTTACTCAAAATAGAAAATGATTAATTTCCAAATACAAAAAAAAACAATTTAAGTGCTACCTACAACAATTATATCAGAACCAATAAGGTGCTACAATACTTTCAAATCAGAATTAGTGTAATTATCAGTCTCTAAACAAAATATTCATAAATTAAATCAGAGAGACAAGAGACATGCGATATATCCTAGTTTACACTTACTAATCCTAAATAGGGTGCTACGTTCAGACTGATATAGCTGCAAATATTTTATTTATTACAAGTGTACCTGTTTTACAAACACGAATCGCACAAGCAATCAAACAAAATACCAAAAATCTTCCTAATGTCTACACTACTCCAAAAATCTACCGACTACACCTTATTAGTCATAGTTTGGCCAGGAAATTAAATCATAGAGACAAGAAATTTACGATATATCCTAGTTTACACTCATTAATCCTAAATAGGGTGCTACGTTCAGACTAAAGTAGCTGTAGATATTTTATTTATCACAAGTGTACCTGTTTTACAAACACACATCACACAAACAATCAAACAAAATATCAAAAATCTTTCTAATGCCTACACTACTCCAAAAATCTACCGACTACACCTTATTAGTCCTTATATAGTTTGGCCAGGATATATCACGTTTAATTTAATATGATGTAAGAAAACCTTAATATTTATAGATAAATTAAGGTGATAAGAGATGAGAAAGAGAAAAAATGTTAGAATAAAGATCGACGAAATCATTATAATTAATTTATCCATAAATGATTAAAACTCTCTCACATATTAAATAATAGATGAGAAAATCCATCCTCGCTATAACTTGTTTACAACAATGAATAGGTGAATTAAGAAGACAGACATATGTTAATGTTAACCGCGAAGAACATAGAAATAAATATATGCCATCAATTTCTTCCAATCAACGTTTCATTTATAATTTAATATTTATTTAAAATATTTTAATATTTATATAATAAGGACATTTACATTGACTTACTATTATCTGGCGTAAGGCACAAGCATGAATAACTTTAGACTTCAATATTTGATTATAATTTACTTCAAAAATTTATTGAAAGGTTCATGTACTCTTGAGTAATATTCAAATGCTTATGTGTATTATTT